CCGGTACGGGGGGGGGGGGGGGGGGGGGGTTGCCTTCTGTGTAACACAGGGCTTGGCCCTCTTCTTTAGGTCACTCAATAGTATTTTAATCACCTTAAAGCAGCAGGATATTTGCCACTGTGGCCCCCTCCTTTACCTTTGGCAGGTTAGGGTGTTATAGCTTGTGACCACAGTTTGGCTAATAGGTTAGACAATAGATTCATATAGGATGGATAGGGATGATCCTCTCTTAGGCAGGATGCTGAACTAGATCGGGGCAGGCAATTATTTTGGGCGGTGGGCTGCTTACCGAGTTTTGGCAAGCTGTCAAGGGCTGCATGGGTAGCTCCGCCCCTTGACACGTGCCCCACCCCCTGGTCACCATTTTGGGACTGGAAGTCCCACCTCCTAACCCCTGACCTTTGCCACCCAAAGTCCCTCCCTTTGCCCCGGGAAGTACTCCTTTCAGCAAGGGGTTTTGCCATCTCGTAAGAAAAATACCAAATTATATTCTAAAAGCAAACATCTACAGCATTCATTAATTTGATTTCAAAATATATATTTTTGCCCTGATTTATGTGCATTTGTGTAGTGTACACATAGGTGATTGCACAAGAGCTTAAAATGAAGTCTTACTCTTGTATATCGTGGAGGGGTGTATAGATTTGTGGGGGGCTGTGGGTGTGTTGGGTGTGGGTGGGTATGGGGTTTGTGGGAGGTTGTGTATGGGGGGAGGGTGGCTGAACTGTATGAGGGGGTGTGGGGGTGTGTGTGTATGGCAGTGTGAGAGGGGGGTGTGGGTACATGTGTATGGTGAGGTGTGCATGTGGGACTCACCCTATGAACACACAGCCCCTGCCTGCACACACACACACTTTGCCCATCCCTGGACTAAATGACCTCTGGAGGTCCCTTCTAGCCTTATGTCTCTATAAGTCTATGACTTATGGTCTGTGAGACCCTGCAATATTGCTTATGGCCACAGGCAATTAAAAGTTAAAATGAGGTTGATCAAGAGAGCAGGATATGACACTGCCTATAGCCCTGGACTTTTTCAGTATTGCTCTTCATAGACCAGTGAAGTTTAGGGACCACTGGGTTTGAATTTATTGATGTGAACTACAGGACAGTAGAAATCCAAACGTAAGTACCTACAAATAAACAAAACCTTTTAAAAATATTACATGTAGAACAGTGCTTTTCAATTGGTGCGCTGTGAGAACTGAATGCAAATAAACTGAATCTGATTTGGATCTGTTCCTCATCCCACATCAAGGTCCCAGGAAGGATCTGAATTGGATTCAGTTCATTGGGACTCAGCTCCTTTGAATTCACTCCTTGTTGTGCGGTGAGGCCCGGGAAAGAATCCAAAGGAGCCAAATCCAGTTCTGAGAGTCCAATTCAGATCCTTCGTGGGCCCTGGACATGGAGAGAACCCAAAGAAACGGGATCGGACTTGGGCCGTGCAGGAGCAGGGGCAGAGAGGCACAGCTCTGTGGCAAGTCTCTGCCCAATGTGAATGCACTGGGAGACGGGCCTGGTACTGGTGGGAATCACTTCAGGAGGGTGAAGGAGCCACTTCCAGGCCTAGCCCCACTGAGATGCCAGGTGCTGAGGGGCCACGGCATGCAGGGTAGGCCTGGGGCAAGTGAAGGCCTTGCTGGCTCTGTACAGTGCAGAGCACCCCCTCCCCCGCCAGGACTCTTACAGAGGCACCACGTTATGCTCTGCAAGGCCAGAGGCACTGGGTGCTTCCCAAACGCAATGGGTGCTGGCTGCTGGGGACTGGACTGAGCTGTGCCAATGCTCCTGCTGGCACTAGCCCTCCAGAGTCTTGCCTCTCTGTTTAGGGTCAGACTGACGCTGCATTGGGGGGCAGGAAGGGATTTTACAACCTGCTCAGATTGGTGTAGATTGGATGGGGGGGGGCGTTACCTTCCTCTGCAGTGAGGCATTGACTCTACCTGGGGTCTCTTGATCATAAATTCACCACCTCTGCAGTAGCAGCATGCTGCCTGCCACAGTCCCCCTGCTTTACGGGCGTGCTGTTGTGTCATAGTTTCATAGTTGGTAGGGTTGGAAGGGACCTGAGCAGATCATCAAGTCCGACCCCCTGCCATGGGCAGGGAAGAATGCAGGGGTCAAACGACCCCAGCAAGGCATCTATCTAGCCTCCTTTTAAAGACCCCCAGGGTAGAAGTGAGCACCACTTCCCTTGGAAGTTGGTTCCAGATCCTAGCCGCCCTGACTGAGAAGTAGAGCCTCCTGATATCTAGCCTGAATCTACTCTCCGTTGACTTATGGCCATTATTCCTTGTTACTCCCAGCAGTGCTCAGGGGAACAGGGACTCTCCCATTGCCTGCTGGTCTCCCTTGGCCAGTTTATAGACAGCCACCAGATCCCCTCTCAGCTTTCTCTTGTGGAGGCTGAACAGATTCAGGTCCCTTAGCCTCTCCTCGTAGGGCCTGCCCTGCTGCCCCCTGATCATGCGAGTGGCCTTCCTCTGGACCCTCTTGATGTTGTCCACATCCCTCCCAAAGTGCAGTGCCCAGAACTGGACGCAGTACTCCAACTGCAGCCTGACCAATGTCATATAGAGGGGGAGGATCACCTCCTTAGACCTGCTCGTGATGCATCTGTGGATGCATGACAAGGTGCGGTTAGCCTTCCTGACTGCATCCCCACATTGGAGGACCACGTTCGTCTTGGAGTCTGTAACGACTCCAAGATTCTTTTCTGTGTCAAGCAGACACCAGAGTTTCTGGACACAGGGTTTGTCTCGGATGGTTTGCACAGGGCTGATCCTCTCGCAGACAGGGCTTGGGCTAGGTCCCTGACAGACCGTTGGCTCAAGGATCCTATGATTTTATGCCAAGCTGCTTGTCTCCTGGGCAGGTAAAAGAGGGGTGTCCTCACTGGGAGAAAGGTGTGGCACCAGTGGCTTGTATGCAGGGCATGAAAACATCCCACTAACACTGGGATCTAGCACTGGCAAAGACTGTCTATGCCCCGGACTCCCTGCCCACCCCCATGCCAGCGATGGTATGCCACATCTGAAAATCTGTAACAGGTGCACTGCAGAAAATTATTATTAATATAACTGTGGCTTGGGCTGGAAAAGGTTGGGAAACACTGATGTAGAACACTGTCATTGTCTCAAAATCCTTCCCACGTTCTCTTCTCGATAAACAGCAGAAACTAACAATGTAACATTTTATAAAACTGGCTTTTTAAAATATATTGTTTTGGATCTCCCCAGAAAGTTACTTTTACCTTTTCATGTAGTGGAAACCTCCTCCTAAATTCTCTCTCCTCCTCTTCCTCCTCACTCTGACCTGTTCCATAGCTCTTGCTCCTGTATCTGTATAAACTGTTTTCCAGTGCCTCCTGCTCCTGGGCACGACGCTGCTGTTCATCCCATTCATTTATAATAGCCTGAGAAATCAATAAACAGAGAGGCATTATGTGAAATCAGCACACACTCCTTGCCTCGGCACTAAGGCAGCATCTTTTTTTTCCCCTTCAGAGCATAGCGTACTAACTGCAGTTACTCAGATCCAAGACAAGGTGCTGTGTGCTCCCCCCACCAGCATGTGGTGGGGAGCCTTGTCTTGGATTTGAGGGCAGGGCACAGGGCAGGTGGCAGCTCAGCTCCAGCTTCAACCCCAGGCTGAGCCCTGCCTGCCCCTGGGCTGGCTAATTTTGCTGGAAGGTGTCAGGGTGGGGCTTGCAGGACAAAACAGAGGGTGACCAGGGGGAGGGCAGGGAGGCTCAGCTCTGGCATGGCTTACATAGGCAAGGGCAGGCACAGCTACAGAGGGCAAGCATGAAGAGGCAGGCAGCAGCAAGAGATCCCTATATATGAATTACTGAAATTACACTTTATTTTCTGGTCATAAACTTTCAAAAATACTCATGCCTTTCAATTAGGAGACTTTACCTGGCACAGATGCCTAAAAAGCTGCAGAGATTTCTGGTCCAGTTCTCCCTTAGACAATGCATGGCAGCGAAGATACAATAATGCATTCACTAGCAGTTCTTCCAGAGTTGGACACAACCTCTGCATGCTCTTAGGCTCTCCTTCAGAGTGTTTCAGGGAAAACTTAAGGCCATGAAGAACCTCCACAGAGTTCACTGAGCATAAAGTTTCTGCATGTGAAAGGTAAGTGGGGAAGCTGGGGCCCACAGAAGGAAATGTCAATAATGAGGTGACAAGGCTGTCAAAGCTGGCTGGGTGGACAAAACTGTTGAGTGCTGTATAAACTTCAGAAGCCACCAGTCTCATGCCATGCTGCATCTGTAAAATGGCAGCCTGCAGTGGGGTGACAGCATCAGGGTACAAAGCATATTCATCCGCCAAATGTCTCCTAAATTTATGGTGTGACTGCTGCCAAGAAGCTTCTTCATTTAGCAGGTTTTGGCCTGCCTGGAGCAACTTGGGCCTTTCTCCACGGAGAAACTGTAGAAGGCGGGCTAGGAGATCTTGGACTGCAGAAATCTGGGCAATGCTTGCCATATATTGGTGAACCTCCTGGTACAAGCAGTCATACGGAGGGACTGGGGGCCTGTAGGCTTGCTTTCTGGAAAGAATGCTTACTTGTTCCTTCAACTTTTGTATTCTTTCTTGCAACAGTCTATTAGAAAATAAACACATTGATGAAATTTAGAAACATGTTACAAACAGGAATAAGATTACAGTAAATGTACTGTCCATATGCTGGTATTTCATAAGGCCACATCTGTACAGACTCCCTACCAAACCCAGGACCACTGCTTGAGAAAATAAATCTCACCCAATTTTGCTCAAGCTTGGTAATTAAGCAGCCTATATGGCTCTGTGTGGTCTCAAGTAGGCTCAACAGCACCACACTCAGGCTGAGAATCTCAGAGGGCTACTGAGGAACACACTCAGGACTGGTTTAAGCCAAGGTGCCAGGCCTGGATATATGGACAGCAAGAGTGAGCGGGCAGAACTTGTACCTTAGAGGCATTCCTTGGCTCAGCAAGGAAGCTGTAGAGATATTGCCTAAATTATTTTTCTGAAATCTAGCAATGAGGGTTGAAAATGACAGACCTCACACACAGGCACCATTTTTCTACCTCTCCTTCTCTCAAACTTCAGTCACAATTTGGTACCAATTACCAAAATGACAGTCAAATACAAAAGTATTAAGAACTTTTATACAAGTATAACTGCATTTACACTTGGGTGGGGCTCTACTGTTTATATTATACCAGTACTGTTAAAATGATACAGCTTATAAAAACAAGTGGTCCTTCACATCTGCTACCACCTCAAGCCTTCAAGGTCCACAAAAAGCATGTATACCTCCCTTTATGTAAGAACTGACCATACAAAACAAAATTAATTCTAAAAAGCACTGAAAATACTGTAATGTAATAGAAGAAATCCAGGTATGGTATAAAACGGGTGGTAACACTGAATAAGTATCACAGGCCTCTCCCAAACTACAACAAAAGAGGTAAGTGCCTCCAAGTTACCCAAGATGAGGATGAACGTATTTGCCAATTGCTTCATCTTCAATACTTTTTCCTGTATGTAACTGGGATGACAGATTACGTGTCCTCCATTCGCACTGCAGACGTTTTAACTAATAAAGAACATATTAAACCAGTTAAATGACAAACAAGTACACTTTCTGGATAATTAGCAAGTTGTAGATGAATAATCTAATAATGAAACTGTGCGTGTGTGTGTGTGTGTGGGGGGGGGGGGACGACTTTTTGGCAGGTGTGCCGCAAATTAGCCCTCAAACCTCCCCGAGTGACACTCCAATCCCCTTCACATGTGTAAAATGCTGCTCTGCTCCCTGCCTGATCTGCTGCTCAGCTTTGTGCTTCTCGCCCCTCTCTGCTGCTTTACTGTCTGGCCCTTCCTTGGTCTACTGTGTGCCACAGGCAGGGGGTACTTGTGCCAGCCCTGCTCTAACACAAATCTCATACTTTCACAAGATTTATGTGTCTAATTAAAAGGGTTGGAGTTTTGCTGGAGTGTTGCTCTGAGACCTGAATGCAGTATGTTGTCCAAAATCTTGTCAATCAGGCGTTCCAACTATGCAGTTGATCCAGTAAAAGATGTAACTAAAAATTCTTGCCTTCCCTCATTAAGAAGAAATTCCACAAACATTGTGTTACAAAGCCCCTGGTCAGCAAGAGGGACACCAACTCCATGCTTACCTCATCTTTGGCATACTTGAGTTTGCATTCTCTTTTCACTGCAGGATCAAACCTAGTTTGTGGAAGCCACATCTGGATCTGTAGCAAACCCATATTCACCCAGAGGCAACCTCGCTGAGCTGTCTCTGATAGGTCCTGAATCCCTTCTTCTCCAAAGAACTGCTGTAAGCAGGTTAGTAAGAGAAAGAGGGTGTCTTTTGGCAATAATTCCTGTCCACTTATGTCCTTAAGTACTTTGAGAACGTACTCAAAAGCCACAGGGTCCATGGAGGGGAGTTTATTACAGCATTGTGAATATTCCTCTTGCAGATCTATGGAAATCAAATCTTTCAGAGCGGAGAGCTGTCTGCACAACATTATACCCTGCAATCTGAAATCTGTATGCCTAAAGGGATAAGAATAAAGAGATTAACTATCTTGTGGTATAAGATTCTGCAGTGTTGCTGGTTTAGATAATATGCATATAGAGGAAAATTCAGTAATACCTAAATTCTGCCACAGAAGAAACAGCCATATTGGTCCACAGAGCTGTGCTGATTTCACAAAGCTGTTGTGCCCTCTCCTTCCATTCTCCCAGTGTTACATGGGATGATGAAAGAACAGGGAGACCACTTGCATCCCACTGGCTCGTTTTGCTGCTGCTAGTTAGAATTTCAAAGAGGCACTTTGAGAAAACAGCTCGGTTCAAAATACCTGGGCCCTAAAGTGAAAGATTAAGGATTAGAGTTTAGTAGCAATACTGCTTGCTCATTTACCTTAATGCTACAAACAAGTAAACTTTACATAAAAATGTGTTACGAAAGCAAGATGATTGTTCACTTCAACCAAGGCATTTAAAAAAAATTAAAAAAAAAAA